GGGCCACACAGCGAGGGTCCGCAAAACTGCGCGGAAGACTCAGTGCCACTGGCGGCTGGGTGGCCCGAGGGAAGGCACCGATCACCAAGGCAGTTTCTCGAGGACTTTGCCAGTGTCTGAGCCAGGAAAGTGCACGCCTGGGCCTGGGCGTCGCTGAGAGTAGATGCTCTTAACGGAGCAGGTGCTTGGAAATGGGGGGCTGAATTTCGAATTTCGCAGAAGGAAAACCGCCTTCCCTGTGGAGAAACCTTCACTACTCGAGGATACAGGCGCCTGCACCACACCAGCCGCTCTGCGGCCTTGGTGCACATGTTTACACATGGTTTAGTTGGACTGAGGCAGAGGTTGGGATTTTGGCAAAGGTTCCCAGGAACCTTCAGCGGGGTCGCTGCTTAGGCCCGGCGCTGCCCGACGGTCTCTGCAGAAAGTTGGAGGCCACGTTCCCGGATTCCTATTCCGGAGCGCCTGGCCCGGTCGCGGCGGAACAGAGCGCGCAGCTGTCTGCAGCCCAGGCCTTGGCCGTCCAACTGGCTCAGACGCCTGCTTCGACCGCAGGTCCGCAAGAGCCTCAGCCCTAGCTGCGCGACACTCTTCGCAAAGCTGCCGAAGCGGACAGGCGAAGGTTACTCTGCCCAGGGGCCCGGTGGCACCTCTGGGTTTCACCGCTGCTCTCATGGTGGCCGCGGCTAGGTCTCCCCCCGTCGGCACAGATGGCAAAGGCGCCAGCGCGCAAGCCTGGGAGGCTAGAAGTGCCAGGCGCCCTTGGAACTCAGAGCCCAAGCCGCAGCGGCAGACTCTTCTGTCCCACTGCGACCCCGGGCCTCGTGTCAGGGTGGCTGCAGGCGCCCCCCTCCGCCACCCCGAAGCCGCCTCTCCACACTCACTACTCAAAGCTCCTCCACCCAGTACAAAGAGCGCTTGCTTTGGGTGTGAGAGCGCGGGGCCGCCACCGCTGCACGACACAGAACTAATGTCTGAACTTCTTTGAAGCTTATTTTTCTTTCTTACTTTTATCGAGACAGGGTCTCACTCTGTCGCCCAGGCTGGAGTGCAGTGGTGCAATCATGGTTCACTGTAGCCTCGACCTCCTGGGCTCAAGCGATCCTCCCACCTCAGCCTCCGGAATAGCTGGAACCACAGGCATGTGCCACCACGCCCCGATAATTTATTTTATTTTGTAGAGACGGGGTCTCTATGTTGCTCAGGCTGGTTTTGAATTATTGGGTTCAAACAATCCTCCAGGCTTGGCCTCTCAAAGGGCTGAGATGACAGGCTTGAGCCACCACGCCCGGCCTAGGCTTAGTGTTTTCATCTGCAAATTGGGGAGGGCACTCGAACCTCGCAAGTGCTGTGCGGCGCAAATCAGAGCTCCTGCCCAGGCGCTGGACTGGGAACTGGTGACTGGAAACCATTTCCACTAGCGGGAAGCGAGCGGCCGGCCCCAGAATTTTCGGCGTTCTCCCCGGAGGGCTCTGATTGGGCCCGGTTCCCGTCGCGTCCCCGAGTCCCAGACCCTACCCGCTGCGCGGCCTCCTAGGGAGAACTGATCGCGGCCTCACTCCCTGCCCGGGCCGGGCAGCCTCGCCTCTCCTTGCAGACGCCTTCGGCCCAGGCCTCCCCACCTGCATGTAGGGCCCCGGGCGCAGCCTAGAAATCAGGGCGCCGGGAGAACCCGCGCGATCTTTCTGCTCGGCCCCCGGAGCTGCCTCTCGTCTCCCTGCCCTGTATCTGTAAAATGGGCGCGGCTTTAGAGACGCTGGGACTGAGGCTGAGGTGGCGAGGCGGCGTTCCCAGCTCTCGCCCAGAGGCAGGCTGCTTCCTGTCCTCCATCCCGTCCTCGGCCGGGCTGGGCGCCAGCACTCGGCCGCCTGCCTCCGGGACCTTGGCCTAGGGCTGGGAGATGATCGCAAAGGAGGCGCCCTCGTGGGGCCCCTGAGGCTACTCCAGATTCCTTTTTCCTTAAGCTCAGTCTCAGGGAAGCCTGCCCCATCCAGATATTACCGTTGCCCCAATTCTGCCCATAGCCCGCGTGGCTGGGGGCGGTGGGAACTGTGTCCCCTACTTCAGTCCCGCGCAGCCACGGCGGAAACGACGACCTAGCGGCCTGGCACCCCAGGAGGAGGGGTTAGGCGTTAAACGCCCTTTAGCCACTTGGCAGTCGCTTCCACCCGCTGGGGGCGCCCACATTGCTCTGGGTGGACGTGGGCGAGAGATGGTCGCTACTCGGCACCACATGAGTAGGCTCAGCTCTGTAACTGGAAAAGACCCGTAGCCCGTCTCTGGCTCGGCAAGGCTGGGTGAGGGCAAAGCGCTGGAAGACGCCAAACGCCCCGAAGGCACTTGTCCGGGAAAGCCAGGCACCCCGGAGGGCCGAAGCCAGACCAGCTCCCCACCCCCGGCCTGCCTGGACGCCTACCCCGGACAGGCCTCCCGGCCTGAGGCCTTCTGCGCAAAGCGAGGCGCCGGATAGAAAGAAAAAGTCAACGTGCGTGTGTCTCCAAAGAGGCCCAAAGAATCGAGGGTCACCCTGGCAAAACAACAAAAGTAATTTTGAAAAACAAAAACTCTAGGCCTTGTAAGAATGATATGTTGGGCCGGGCGCTGTGGCTCACGCCTGTAATCCCAGTACTTTGGGAGGCCGAGGTGGGCGGATCACGAGGCCAAGAGATGGAGACCATCTTGGCCAACACGGTGAAACCCCGTCTCTACTAAAATGCAAAAAATTAGCCGGGCGTGGTGGCGGGCGCCTGTAGTCCTAGGTACGCGGGAGGCCGAGGCAGGAGAATCGCTTGAACCCGGGAGGCGGAGGTTGCAGTGAGATGATATCGTGCCACTGCACTCCAGCCTGGCGACGAAGCTAGACTCCGTCTCAGAAGAAAAAGAGAGAGAGAGAGAGAGAGAGAGAGAGAGAGAGAGAGAGAGAGAGAAAGAGAGAGAGAAGAAAGAAACATTGGACTTTGGGGCCTCGGGGGGAAGGGTGGAAGGGCAAGGGATAAAAGACTACACATTGGGTACAGTGTACACTGCTCGGGTGATGGAAGCACCAAAATCTCGGAAATCACCACTAAAGAACTTATTCATGTAACCAAACACCACCTGACCATCTGTTCCCCAAAACCCACTGAAATAATAACAATTAAAAAAAAAAACCCGCTAGGCCTTATTATGGAGCAACAGAATAAAACGGAACGGAGCTGGACCGCGACACCCGCCTCTAAGGAACGCGCTTCTCCACCAGCAAAGTCAAGGGTCCCTCTAGTCCTCAGCCGAAGGGCCAACCTTTCCCAATCCGATGATGGCGTTCATCAGGCTTTTTAGTGGAGAAAATAAAAGCATTTCAGGAAAACACTCACGGAAGAGACCCGAAGTTCTGAGTCACCCTAGTCCCTCCCCGGGTGTCTTTATGTCCCCAAAGGCGCAGACCCCAGACTAGCTGGGCTTGGGGATGGAGGTGACGACGGGAGCGCTGGGGGTTCAAGATGTTTCTCAGGCGCCCTCCCCTTCCTCCGGCCCTGCAGGTGCAGACAGTCCCGCAGCCCGCATAGAACGAAGGCTCGGAGCACGGGGACCCTCAGGGTGGCCCACGGCTCCGGCACCGAGGGAGGCAGTGGGATGAGGCGGATGGGGGTGCTCGTGGAGTTGGGGGGCTCTGGGACACGGCCTCGAAAGTGTTTTGCCTTAGGAGCTGCTGGGAGCTGGGCCTGGAAGAGGGAGAGAAGGAGTCAGGGAGAAAGGAAAGGAGAGAGAGAGAGACAAAGACAGATATACATTAAGGCAAAGAGATTCGAGAAACAAGAAAGGGAAGACAAAAGGACAAAAAGAGGACAATGGAGAGGAGGGAGACAAAGAAACCCAGAGAGACACAGAGGCCAAGAGTCAGAACTGGGGAGAGAAGGAGGAGGAGACGACAGAACAAGAAAAGGCTGAGGGCAATGAAAAGCAGTAGAGGACGAACTACACCGGGAAACATCACAAAACTGTAAAGAAAAGGAGAAAGATACAGTACAACAGAGATCCAGAGTAACACACAGAGGAGAAAACAGGGAACACTGTAGAGAAAGAAACGGAGAGGACAGAAAGTAAGTTTTTAGAAGACTGAAAGCAAGAATGATAAAAGAGGGGGGAAAAATCCAAGAACAAGAGGAAACGTTCACAGGTTTTGTTTGTTAGTCACGGTTGGAAGGGGTCAGCCGCTCCCAATCTCGCAATTCTGAAACTTCCAACTCTTGAGCCACGGTGGAGCTGGGTGGACCCGGCCACGCCGCTACCACACCAGGGCTTGGAGTTCTGAGTTCCGGGCGCCCCGCCCACTCCAGCCCAGTGACGCCGCGGGGGCTGCGGTGACGTCACACGACGTCATGCTCCACATGGGGTCCCACGCAAACCCGACAAGGAATGGGGTCCCTGGGGTTGTGCGCTGCATTTGCTCCCCAGGCCTTTGGGGAACGAGGATTTGCACCGGTTCTGCGCGCAAAGCCAGCCCACAGAGCGCCCAGACCCGTCAGAGCCAGGTCCTCTCTGAGGCTCCGCAGGAAAAAGAGGGCGGAAAGCGGGTTGCGGGGTGAAGGGGGGCTCTGAGTTCCGGCTTGAGTTCCAAGAAGTTCGAGGCCACTCTGTCTCCCGCCCCCCAGGTGGATTTGACCTGGGGACGGCCTATGCATCTGCCCAGGCCCGGCGTTTTACTCACCAGGCCGCCCCGGCGTTGGCCCGCGGCCCTCGGGCCTGGGGCACCTTTCCCACGTCCAGTTCCCATCCCGCGCGCACCCAGGCTGAGGGCGGCCGGCACCAACTGACCTGCACCGCGCATCCTCCGCGGGGACCCCGGCGGGGGTTGCAGCCGAGGCGAATGCAGATGAACCTTCAGAAGTGGCCGCTTCCTGCGCACCTCAGCGCTCGGCTTCTACCGCCGCAGGAGTGGGGCGCAGGGCCGCGGGGTGGGGCGCAGGGCCGGGGGTCGCCGAGTATTATTGGAACGAAAACGAAATAAAAGCGGCGTTAAGTGAAATAGCTAACTTTTTTTTATTAAATAAAACGACTTAAATAAAAGGAACAGAAAAGAAGAAGAGTGGACCCAGCCTAAACGCAGGGTGCCCCGGGCCCCTGACACTTCCCCCAGCGGCCGGGTCGGCTGCCCCTCCTCCAGCGGCCCCCGCGGGGGAAGCAGGTGGCCGGTTTCTAAAGAAAAAAAAGCCAAAACTTTTTATTATTTACACGTTTGGGCAAAAGTACAAAGTATAATACAGGCGCCCGGCCCGGGGGGTGCGGGCGAGGGGCGGAGAAACGTAAGGCGCTTTCTTGTCAGGCCCGGGCCTGGGGCGGGACCGGGCGCGGGGCGGGGGCTCGGATTGTGCGGCCGCGCGGAGCCCGGGCCCGACCCCCTTCCGCGGCCGGCCAGTCTGTGGCCGCGCCCTGGGGCCTACTTGGGCTTGGCGGCCCCTTCCCCTCTCGGCCCCGGTTCCCCCGCAGCCCGGCTGGGGGGTCCGGGGCTCCCGTCTGGGTGGGGGGCGGCGATCCGTGGCGACGGTGTGCGCTGGTGGGCTCACACCAGGGAGGTGACGGCGGGAACCTTGGAACTATCTTCCTCCCAGGGCTGCAGATTCTGCAGAGCAAAGAGTGACGAGTTGTGCAGACAGAGCGGGTCGGGCTGGATGGAGTCGTTGAGGCTCTTTTGGAAGGCGTCGTGTTGCAGCTGCAGCATGAGCCGGCTCGCCTGCTGCCGCTCCGCCTCCCGCTCCTCAGCCGTCTGCCGCCTGCACCGGGGGAGGGAGAGGGACAGCACCGTCATGCACCCGGCACCGCGGGGCCGCCGGCGGGGCCCCGGCCCTCCCGGGAGCCGAGGCCATCCGGGAGCCTCGAGGCGCAGAAACCGTCTGCCTCCCAGCCCGCGCTTTACGCCCGAGGCCCTCATATCCAGGGAGCAGGTTGGGATCATTTGTTTTTGTTGTGTGCCAGAGGGTCTCCAGGAGGGGACTCTGCCCGCCGCCCACCTGCACGCCCGGGTACTGTGGCTTCACCAACAATAAAGATTGTTCCTTTCGCCGAATAGCAAGGGCAGGGCCTATGTGTAACTGACTTGGCCCTGCGGGAACCGGGGTCGCTGGGGTCCGCGGGGGGGCAGTCTGGCTCTGCACCACCCGCACGACGCCCGGGGGCTAGGTCAGTCTCATCCAGTTCGCCTAGAGCCTGTCTTGAACCCCTTTCCAGACGCGATCGCTTCGCCGTTTACGGGTTGAATCAAAACAGAGATCGGATAAAAACGCGGCTGGAGTGGAGACGCGGAGATCGGGTGGTAGGGGGGAGGAAAACAGCGTCCACGAGGATTGTGGAAAATCCGAGAGGGCGGGCTGGAAGAAGGAGGAGAAGGAAAGTGCGAGAGGCCCGTGTGTGCGTGTGTGCGTGTATGTGTGTGTGTGTGTATGTGTGTGTGTGTTTGGGGCGGGGGGTAAGAGGAAATCAAGTGAGCGCAGGAGACCGTACAAAACACGGGGAGAGAGTTGGAGGGGCTCACGAAAGATGGGGATGGGGATGGAGGAGAAACCGAGGCGGAGGAGACCACGATGGAGAGAGACGCACAGGCCAGCGAGAAGGGTGAAAGGAAGAGGTACAATCTGCGAAGGCGGGTGGGGGTGTGTTGGGGAGAGGATGGGAGGGGGCGGGGGTAGTGGATGGCCTTAAAATGGGGCGAGTCGAGGCTGCGGCTCGGGGCGGGGCAGGTGAAGGGCAGGTGTAAGGTGGGCCAGGTCAGGCCTCTCTCACCGCCACTTGGTCCTCCGGTTTTGGAACCAGGTCTTGACCTGCGCGTCCGTCATTTTGAGGGACTTGGCGAGCGCCGCCCTCTCGGCAGAGGCCAGGTACTTCTGGCGATGGAAGCGCTTTTCCAGCTCGCAGATCTGCACCCGGGAAAAGGACGTGCGCGGCTTCTTACGCTTGGGCGGCGTCCGGTTCTGGTAGGGGTGGCCGATGCGCCGGGTCACGGTGAAGGGCGTGAGTGCAGCCGCCGCTGCGGAGACACACGAGAGCCCCTGAAGCCCAGCCCGGCTCGGCCACCGTTCAGGCCCCATGCGGACCCCGTGGCGCCCCGTGGGACACGGAGAGCTCAGCTATTTCGCTGGTCGCGCGCATTTCCAGCGACACCAAGCCGGTCGGGAGACGCCCTCGCCCCCTGTCCCTTCCCCCAGGCACGGGCTTATTTTCCTGCAACTCTCCGATTACCCTCCCCACTACGGCTGCCCGGGGCCCTGGGGCCGAGGCCTCAGCCGTGCTTGGGCCTCTAGAATGGTTTCCGGGAGTGGAGCGCAGAGGGCGCGGCGCCTCTGGCCCCGAGAGGGCGGAGGCCTGGAGCCTGGTGGCCAGCTCTGCTCACCTGTGAAGCGGTCTTTAACGAAGCGGCGGCTGCTCTCCATCCAGGGGAAATTGAGGCCGCCCAAGCTGGAGACCGTGGGCACGGAGGGCATGGCGGGTAGCGCGCTTGGCAGAGGCGGTGGCACGGCCCCGGGCAGCGGCCTGTGCGCCGGCACCCGGATCACGCCGGCGGGCGCTAGGCTCAGGTTGACACTGTAAGATCCCGCGTCCTCGAAGGGCGCGCCGAGGCCCGCAAAGGAGGCGGGCAGAGACGGGTATGTGGCGCCCGGACGGCCCCCCGGGGGCCCTCCCAGGTAGCTGGCGCCGTCGGGGCCCCGCGGGGCGGGTGCGCTGTCCTGGTCCGGGCTGTTAAGGATCTGGTCGATGCCGAAGCTGATGGGCTCGTGCGGGTGCGGGGTCTGCGCGCTGGCGGGCGCCTCCATCCTGGGCGGGCGGAAGGGCTGGGCTGGGCTGGGCGGGGAGGCGGCTGGGTCCCGGTTACGGCGCGGCCATGGAGCGCCCGGCGCCTCTCGTCGCACTGAAACTTTGCCAAGAGTGCGCGGGCCCGACAGGCTCTGTGTCATCTTTCTTGAACCGAACCTGGAGTTTCCGCTGCTAATTCCTCTCCCGCCGCAGCCATTGGCTGCGATCAACAAGCCTCTCTCCTCTCATTGGCTCCCGGCTTTCAATAAAGGCCTAATTCATGGAAATAGGAGCTTAGGGACTGTTCCAAGGTGACATCATTTTAACAAACGAACAATAGGTCAAATTTATTAGCCGGGATAATGGGCGGCGGATATTAGCGCCCGAACCGCAGCCTCCCAAACCCGAAATCTAACGAAGCTGCAATTAGCAGACGCTCCCCGCTCCTCCCGGCCGGGCCGCTTCCCAGACACTGCGCTGGGCGGGTAGAGCGCTCCGCTTGTGAAATTGTCTTTTGCTGAGCGGGTTTTCGTTTTCTTCCAATTTTTTTTTTCGTCTGAGCAAAAGCCAAACCAAATGCATCCTTTCAGTTACAATGGAGTTGCACCCCGGGACGACCCGGCGGGATCCGCAGAAGCCCCTTGGACTCTACAGCCGCTGGAGGAACGAAAGGGGCGCACTCCCGGGGGCAGGCTTCGCGCTGCCTGCGCGCGGGGCGAGGGGAGCACCGTAGCGTTCTCCGCGCTCCGGAGGACGCCGACCCGCGTGGGGAGAATTCGCCCCCGCCCGGGTTTCGGCCGCGGCGTCGCGGCCACTTTGGAGACACTCCCTGGCTCCGGCCAGGCGGACCGAGGCGTGACTCGCAGGTGCCCACGCGTGCCAGCTGCGGCTGGGCTAGGGACGCGGGGTCGCCCAGTGGGGAGCGGGGACCTGACTCTCGAAATTCGTTGCAGAATGGAGGGGGCTGTGGTCGCGCATGGGAACCCGCTCGCGGCTCAGCGGGTCTTGGGACTTCGGGTTACCGAATGTCAAAGGCGCGGGCAGCTCATAGTTAGAGCAAATCGCAGGATTTTTTTGGGAAACGCAAGTGGTGAGCCCCTTCCGGCTCCAGTCCAGTCTGGGCGCTGGAACCACTCTCCATTCTGCCCGCGCCTCAGTGACTGTCTATCCGGGCCCAGCTGGGGCACCGTGGACAGGACCGCACACGAAGTAGTCACCTTCCGCTGCAGCTTTGGGGAGACGAGGGGAATCATTTTCTTCCAGCTAATTCTAAAATCGTTAGGTGTAAACTCTTTGAGTGTCGCACCCCTGGCCTGGGCTCTTCCTCCCGCTCCTTGTGGTGCGGACAGTGGTGAGAGCTCGGATGTACTGTTGGCCAGAAGTGTGTTCAAATTTGGACTGGCCACTTCCTAGCTGAGTGACCTTGAGTAAGTGACTCCACATATTTAGGTTTCGGTTTTCTCGTTTGCAAAAGGGAAATAATGCGTGTATGCAGGTTGTTCGTGAGCCGCGAGTGAGATATTGAGGGAGCGCCGAGCACTGGGCCTGGCACGTAGTGGGCACTGGGAAGCGTGGCTCACCACCCACTGCATCCCCCCAGAGTAATGGCTGATCTATTATTGTTGTGACTCTTGTTTATTTTGTTGGCAGTTTTATTTTATTTGCAGGGGCTCAGTATGTTGGAGAGAAAGGTGTTTGTCTACCAGTAGGGTCAGTTTCAGAGGACGGGGAAGGACAGGAGGTGCAGGTTGGGGATTCTTTCTCTCTTCTCCCAACAATCCAAAGGCGATGGGATTTGCAGGGCCTCCAGGCCTGGGTCTGGACTTAGGTCACTTGCCCGCTGCGTGACCTTGGGCAAGTTACTGGCCCTTGCTGAGCCTTCCTGGTGGGTGTGGAGAGGGAGGCCCAACATTGAGGGGTGAAAGTTGCAGGATGCCTGGGGTCTCGGCAAGTGCTCCCTCCCTTCCAGCGACAAGGACCCTCAGATGGGGTAGATGCCATTGCTCTGGCCCCAGGGGGCCTCCTGCTTCTAATTCAGGCTCTGCCACTGGCAGGGTGGGGGCTGTCGGGTCCCTAACTGCCCCTCCTAGAACCGCATTTTCCTTGTTTGTAAAACAAAAAGGGCACCAGCTACCCCCAGGGTGGCTGTGAGAACCAAATGAGATAGCATCTGTGGAAGTGCCTGTGAGAAACTCTGGCGGTTATATAATAATAACTTTAATGACAACTATAAAGCTACTGTAGCTGAGAACCTAGCCTGTGCCAGGCAGGGAGGTGGACACTTATTTATTCTTCACAATGACCCTGTGAGGAAAGGGCTGTTAGTGGCCCCAATTTCTCACTAATGAGGGAATTGAGGCTTTGAGAGTTCGAGGGAAGCACAGCTCCCCACTTGGGGGCTGGAGTTGGCACCTCACCAGCTCCACTTCCCTTCTGGCTTCCAGTGCCCCGGACTCAGGGCTGCCCTTGTCACTTCAGACACTGTGAAATTGGGACAACAAGGCCCACCGCACAGAGGTTTGTGGCACGGAACTAAGGTGTGGGTGGTACAGCACTGCTCCCAGGGTGTGTGCTTAAGAATGGGATTCCCACCTCAGTTTACCAGCTGTGGACTCTGAATTATTCATCTTCTTTGTGCCTCAGTTTTTTCATCTAGTAAATAAACCTCATAAGATTAAACAAGCTCCTCCAGGTAAAGCCTGGCACGGGTCAGGGCTCTGCTTCACTGCTTGGGGTCTGGCTTCCTGAGATCCACGGTTCCTCATGGTCCAGCCCTGTCATCCAGATGAAGGTGCTTTGGGCCACTCATCATACGCCTCCTTTCACTTCCTATCCAGATAGCTCTCAGGCAGCTCAGGAATGGGGGTAACTTGGGTCAGGTATTAGTCCCTAGGACAGTGGTTCTCAGAGTGTGTTCCCAGAGCAGCAGCATCAGCATCACTGGAGAATTTGTTAGAAATGCGAATTCCTGGACCCTCGCCAGACCTACGGAATCAGAACTCTGGGGTAGGACTCGGCAGTCTGTGTTTAACAAGCCCTCCAGGTGACACTGATGCCTGCTCAACTCTGGAAGCCAATGCCCAGAATACTGTCCATTTCATCCGAGTTTTCAAATGTGTTGTTACAACACTGTGGGAAGATTCTCTCAGAATTTGCAACTCTCATATGAATCTGTACCCATACCTTCCACTTCTCATTCCCAGTGTTGCTCATTCATGTCTTCTCCTGATCATACTTGCCAAAGGTTTGTTATTTTGTTGGTTTTAAAAAAAAGCCTTTGATGTCTTATCCCCTTTTCAAATGCCACCTCTTTCATGAATGTTGTGGTTTCAAAAATTATTTATTTCTTCTTTGCTGAGTTGAAAATTTGTCAATTTTTCTTTCTTTTTAAATAAATGCATTCGAGGGCATACATTTTCCTCTGAGCACTGTTTTGGCCAGGTATGTTCTGATATGTATTTGGTGTTCCTGAGGTTGTAATTTCTTGCTGCTCTTCTAATTTACCTGCTGTCACTTGACCAGTGAGGCACACACACTGAAAGAGATTAGGAAATGAGAATTGGAAGAACCGGGACCAGGATTCCTGGAGCTAGAGAGACTTTCAGGACGCAGCACATCCTCTCCTCTTCTCCATGAAGAAGCTGGGAGAAAGGGGTGCAGCTGGTGGAGGCTTTGCTGAGAGTCATCTAGAAGATGGTGGGGCTTCAGGGGTGACAGGAAAGATGCTGGGATTTCCAGCTGGTCCAGGAACCCAGCTGTGGGAGGCTCCTCCAGGCTCATTCTGCCATTGACTTCCTGAGTGAAATGGGACTGCATTTCCCTGTCTGTGAAATGGGGTAGAGACTGAATTAGGACTTTAAAAGTATTTGGGTCAGCTACCCTATTTGAAACACCGATGAAAATATTGTGGTCTGCTTCCATAGAAAAGGACAGAAACACAATTTGGCACATACACCATGTCACAGGTGGCTGACCTGCCGTGCTGTTCTTGGCTCACACACCCTAGTTAGGAGTCCCTGTGGGCCCTTCCAGTTTTCCTGATGGAAGGCTCTAAAGACACTTGCCCAAATTTATTCGCCCATTCATTTATTTATTCAACGAATATTTACTGAGCACCTACTCCCATTTCCTGGACCATACCCCAGCGCAGGGGCTTGGTTTCCCCATCTCACAGTGGGGACAAAGCAGTCTGGGCTCTTCATCACTGCTTCCCCCAGTGGGCAGGACGTGGGGAAGAACATTCCGGAGGAGGTCTGATCAGTCTCAAGAGTCTGCCAGCCAGTGGAAGGAAAAGGGCACGCAGTGGAAAGGGGTGAGCTGGGATTTGAACCCAGGACTTTTAGACTACAAAGCCCACACTTTCTCCTTTACCTTACACCCCTATTTGGGAGTAGGTGGTAAAGACTGTAAGTCACGGGACTGAGTGGGGAGGGGAATCAGTGCAGGGTCTGGGTGAATGAGCCCAAGAGTGGCGGTGAAGGCTGGCCATAGTGGGGCTCACTCTTCTCCCCTACTGGCTTGAGAGTTCCTTTCAGGCAAAATGGTGTTGGTGGCATTTGATCCCATGTCCCAGGGCTGGGTCCAGGGCGTGGAGGACTGGAGGACATCATCAAGGTTTGTAGTATTAAACTCAATAGCACAAAGCAAGCTCAGACAAGGGGTAAGAAAAACGGGTCAGAATTGGGCGCAGGCATTTTCGTGCAGTCAGTTCGGCATTCCCCCCCCCCAGCACCCCCATGGCTGGTTCCTCGCATCCTTTACGACCCAGGCCAGCCCTCACCTCTCTGCCCATCCTCCAGAGTAGCACCCTCACCTCATCATCCTCTCTACCCGTTGGTTTCTGTCATTCCCCTCAGAACTAATCTTATTTATCCGGCTCATTAGCTTTATCTGTGGCAGGTGATGTGAAAGAATGATTTCCAAGGTGCTTGGGCTGGGCCAGACCCTGGCCCTGGCAGGGAGGCTGGCAGCAGCCTGAGGAAGCTGGCCCTAGGGCTGGGGGTTAGAGGAGAGGGGAGCAGGGAGAGATTCCTTTCTCCGTGGGGTGGGGGACTGATGGAGATAATAAAGGGCACGTGAGCAGGGACTGTGCAGATGGCAGCGTGTGCAGGGTGGCAGGAATCGGTCAGTGTGCTCCGGCTCAGGGGAGTAAGGACAGGCAGGGTGGGCAAATGCATGGGGTGGCCTTCTCAGGGACCTCCAAACCTGATCTCATGCCCTTGTTTCCTTCCCCTACACATCAGCCATTTTTCCCATTTGTGCTCCACAACTTTCCTCCCTTCCTGACAGATTTCTCTACTAAATTTGACTTCGTTTCAACACTTTCGTTGGGCAAATTACATTAAGATGAATGTTGCAGGTACCCTTTATGGTTTATTTATCGTGATACTGTTTGTATCTCACACTTATAAATAACTTATGTTATAGCTTTTGTTTGTGGAAATGTAACTTACATATTTTATTACGCTTTCTGTAAACCTCAAAAAGAATCTTGTCAAGGAAGCACTCTTATCAGCAATCCAAACTATGGGACGTAAAAACCGACACTAACATTATTTTTTAATATGCCAAGGAGGCAGGTTACTCTTGCTGTAGTTTGAAAGGTTTGCTGTCATTGTAAACTTGCACCTCAATAAAACATTTAAAAGTCTCAAGAATGATTTTAGGAAGTTCAGGGAGGAGGATGAATCGGTGGCAGGACCCACAGACACAGCACACAACGGGCCCAGGTCCTGGACTGGCCTTTCACTGGGAGTGCCTAGTCCCATTGTGGGTGTCAAAGTGGTTCACATTGAGTTCTCCCACCCAACTGTCCCCTAGGCCCAGCTGTGAAGGACCTAGTTCAAGGAATTATAGTGAAAAAGAAACACGAGTTTTGAGGTCAGGCAGATCTGACTTTGAATTATGGCGTGTCTACTTTCTAGCTATGTGGCTTTGGGTCAGTCTTTTAGTCTCAGTTTTCTCATCTCTAAAATGGGGATAATAATTCTTGACATTCTTACTAGGAAGCGTAAAATGAGATAGCAGTTTAATGCTTATTTGGTGCTCAATAAATGATAGCAGTTCTGATTATTTTATGTTCACCTTAAAACTTTTAAGACCAGGAGTGGTGGCTCACATCTGTAATCCCAGCACTTAGGGAGGCTGTGGCAGGTGGATTGCTTGAGCCCAGAAGTTCAAGACCAGCCTAGCCAACATGGCAAAACCCTGTCTTTACAAAAAATACAAAAATTCTCCGGGTGCAGTGACATGGGCCTATAGTCTCAGCTACTCAGGAGGCAGAGGTGGGAGGATTGTTTGAGCCCAGGAGGTTGAGGCTGCAGTGAGCTGTGAGCGTGCCGCTGCATTCCATCCTGGGCAAGAGTGAGATCCTGTCTTAAAAAAACAAAAAGGGGCCGGGCGCGGTGGCTCAAGCCTGTAATCCCAACACTTTGGGAGGCCGAGACGGGTGGATCACGAGGTCAGGAGATCGAGACCATCCTGGCTTACACGGTGAAACCCCGTCTCTACTAAAAAATACAAAAAACTAGCCAGGCGAGGTGGCGGGCGCCTGTAGTCCCAGCTACTCGGGAGGCAGAGGCAGGAGAATGGCGTGAACCTGGGAGGCGGAGCTTGCAGTGAGCTGAGATCCGGCCACTGTACTCCAGCCTGGGCGACAGAGCGAGACTCCGTCTCAAAAAAGAAAAAAAAAAGAAACATTTACTTCCTCCCTTTTTACTCTACCCTGCTTTTCTCTTCAGGCACTCCTTTCCCTCCTCATCATAAGGGGCTGAGTCCTCTCAAATGTTACTTCTCCAAAACTGCTGAACATCTAGATCAAGTTTCCCATATGCTAGATCTTTCAGTTTCTTCAATTTTTCTCACCAAACCCACTCTGTTTTCGGTTCTCATGTCCAGCTGTTGGTAGTTAGCTAATCTGGTCACTAATCTCAGCTAACAGCTACATGGCAAGCCACTTCTGCATTTTGAAAGGGGCCCTCACTACCGTAATCCGTAGGTACTTCTAGGATGTCAGGGCCAATAGAAGGGAGTCCAGAAGGCCAGGAGGGCTTTTCTGGGCAGTTCAGATAATCACACACAGTGCAGGGACTCTACACTCCTTTGTCCCCCATCCTAGAGAAGCCTGATTGGAAAACACAGAATAACAGAAACATCCAGAATACAGGCAGACTACATCTTTCTCAGGGGCCAAGTTCTGAAGTCAGTGTGGAAGGCAAAAATTGAGCAAAGTAAAAATCCCTTCAAACTGTTTCTTGCTTGAGCATCCCTGAAGCAGCTGGCTTGACTTAGCACCCACATTGCAGGAACAGTCCATCTGTCTGTACACTAGAATCCCATCAGAAGGGTGGGTGCGCAAACAGCAGCCACGCCTCCCACCTCATCCTCTCTGAGCACGTGTGTGAAGTGGTAGGCCCTTTGGAACTGCCAGCACTCATTTTCCTATTGTTCAATCTGAGTAAGTTGAATCTGATTAGACCCAGCAGCTCCATTAGTTGTCTTTCACACGGCCTCTACAGGTTTGTGTCTGTGCATGCTTTATCCTTGGGACAGGATGTCCCTACAGGGCCCACTCCCACGTGGAACTCCAGGTCTCTTCTCAAGAATCCCGTCCCTCACCAAGGCAGACTCTGGCAGTCTTGGAGGCAGAGTCCCAAATCTGGTTCTCATCCACTGTGGGATGAGTGTGTAGTATGCGTGAGTGTGATCCTTGAACATCCCAGCTTCCCCACTTCCTTTTCCTCCCTCAGTAAGGGCTCAGAATGGAACCTGGCCCTCTAAAGGAAAAGGAGGGTTCCTTTCCAGGTTTTAAGAAAGAAATTTACAGCTAAAACTCAACCTTTCTAGCCACAGCCAGACAAGAGTTTTGGCAGACAGCTTTGAAAATGGCTCCCAATGGCCGGGAATGGTGGCTCACGCCTGTAATCCCAACACTTTGGGAGGCCGAGGCAGGCGGATCACAAGGTCAGGAGATCGAGATCACCCTGGCTAACACGGTGAAACTCCTTCTCTATTAAAAATACAAAAATTAGCCGGGTGTGGTGGCAGGCGCCTGTAGTCCCAGCTACTCGGGAGGCTGACGCAGGAGAATGGCTTGAACCCGGGAGGCAGAGCTTGCAGTAAGCGGAGATTGTGCCACTGTACTCCAGCCTAGGTGACAGAGCGAGACTCTGTCTCAAAAAAAGAAAGAAAAAAAAAAAAAAAAAAAGAAAGGAAAATGGCTCCCAATGATCCCTACCTTGTGATTTACTTCTAATGAACAGAATACAGCAAAAGTGATGGGATGGCCCTTCTGAGATTAGGTTATAAAAGACGGTGACTTCCAGATTGCTGCAATCTCTCTGGCTCTTCTCTGATGAAACAAGGTTCCATGCTGTGAGCTGCCCTGGGAAGAGACCCATTTGGCAAGAAACTGAGGCAACAACCCGTGAGAAACTGACTCCTGCTAACTATCACGGGTGAGTCTGGATGCAGAGCCTTACCCAGTCAAGCCCTGAGATGATCACAGCCTGTGAGAGAGAGAGCCTGAAACCCAGCTGCAAATTCCGGACCTACAGGAACCGTCAGTTAATAAATGTGGCTTCGAGGCACTAAGTTTTGGAGTAATGTGTTATGTAACAATAGAGTTCTGAGAAACAGATGATAATGGACCTAAATATCAACTGGTTTCAACTCACCATTCTGAAATACAGGTCTTCCTTGCAAGGGGCCAGGAATTCTTTTGAGGTGAGACAGATCTGGGTTCAAATCTTGCCTGTGTGACCCATGTAAGCTATAGACACCATCTTTTAACCTCGGTTTCCTTATCTGCAAAGTGGAGCTAATACTGTCTAAACTTTAGAGGGCTCTTGTGAGGACTAGAAGAGATCATGTATGTAAAGGGCACGATACATATTCAATAACTGTCTGCTGAGTCCTCTCCAGCTGACGCATGCTGCCTGCAGTGTGCTCTGTGAGGCCAGCTCTACTAGCAGGTCCTGTAGACGTCAGCAGTGGGGTAGGCCTGACCTGTCCTTTGAGAACAGCTCTCCAAGGCCAAGTATGATGGAGCCATTCTTGTCTGCTGTGAAATCACCAGGTGACCTCTGGCAGTGTGGCAAGGAGAAGTGAGTGCCCATGGTCATATTCTGGTGAACATTTTAATGCAAACAATATGGTGCTTTTAGATACTAGACATTTGTAAAGAATGTCAGAATGGGACAAACCTTTCTTAACACATTTCTGTGTGGTGAGTGTGCAGTTATACGCCTTTAAGAAACAGAAATTCATGTCAAACTTCTCTGAACAGCTGATGTTTTACAGAATTCAGAATTCACCTTCTCAAGGAAAATTATAAATTCCATTTCTAATGAAACATAGTGTAAGGCCAAAGCTTATTTATCCATTAAATACTAGAAGTAACCCCACATGTAACATATTTTCCCCTCATTTCCTTCATACTTAGAAGACAAACATTTTGAGATAAACTTGAGTGACTCTGCTTTTATATGACAAGCCTATTGCAAAACTCAACTATCAAGAAAGGTTTCAAGAAACACTAGTCTGAGAAATGAGATTATAACAGGAGCCTGTGGATTTACTTCTTGTTCAACAGTAAGGCCAACCTTTCATGTCTTATCAGAAATAAAGGACACAATATTTATTGTAAGCCAGAATCATAAAAACAGCAGTGAGATAGTAAAACACTTGACAGTGGGCAATCTCAAATTAATAGCCTAGTAACAGTGTAGCACAAACTGTAAAGGTCTTCTTCGTGTTCTGGGTTTGGGTTAAGTCACAATCCCAAGTCCCAACAGTAATAAGAGTGTTTGTGGAGAGTTGGAAACCAGCTGTTTCTCATCCTCTGAAAATCTGAATTTTAGCACCTAGAACTGTTTTGGGTAGCCCTAAGAAGGCAGAGCTGCTTTAAATATTATATTCTAATAGTTACCTTAACCTTCTCTTAAAAATTAAGTGGAGGCAGAGGATGGATGCTGGCACCACCCAGAACTCCTGACTGGGGCTACATGACTCCTCCTGAAGAAATATCTCTGCAGGCAGTAATTGCACAGCTTAATTCTTCTAGACTGAACCACTTCAGATTTATGCCAGTGAAAAGCAAACATTGTTTGTAAGTCATTTAATTGTGTTACTGTCTCTCAACTTTATCAGATGCAGCTGAGGCAGGGAGGCCTGCGTGTGGTCCTGTGGGATGCTCTGTAGTGCTTCCAGGCTCGCTCTAAATGCTCACAGCCCAAAGTCCCTAACGCTGCCTCTTCCAGACACACAACAAACTACTCATTTAACAGGTTCCAGCGGCATTCATCTCAATCCAGAGTCCATGGTGAAGGCTGCATCTCCAACAAATTGACAACCTTGATTGCAGAACCATAAACTAGTACACACTTAGGTGCAAACCTGGTTTATTCTGTTCTTTGGTTAAATATTGTTTCTATACCCTTTCAGAGCATTAGGAGAACAAAGATAATATTTGATAGAAAGACTGAAAACACATCCTTTGCTTTTCAGAGAAAAGACTGAATTTACACTGTGTACTGTTAGGAATTCTTATAATTAGGTTAGACATAGAAGAAGGTAGGGCTTTTGTTGTTGCTTGTATATTTTGAAAAATACATTCCCCTGGGCTAGCCAACATCACTGTCCTGAGACCCAGACCTTCAGGAGTCTCTCGACAAAGGCTGCTCCACACACGGTCAGGAAAATCGGGTCAGCCCATCATGTCGAGACTGCATGGTTCAGTGTTGCCGTCACTGCGCAGAGCCTCTGCCACATCTCTTCTGAATACAGACAGATTCTGGGTGAACCTGCAGAAAGAGGAAGAAAGGGTCAAGGGTAGTAATGAGGCCAAGCCTCCATGAATTTCTGGACGATAAGGCCACTTTGGAGTTCAGGACTTTGGGGAGGCCCCTCCTGGAGGAAGGCTCTAGATTTCAGCTGAGCTCCTTTCTCTCCACTTTCATCACCACTGCTGCTCTGCCACCAGTACTGCCAACCCCTCATCCCTTCCTGGAAAACAGGGTTGCCACTAAATTCACTCTGACCATCTTGAGGTGTACATTTTGTGGTTCTACTTTTAAAAAACCATTTCAGAAAAGTTAAATTACACATAGATGGTAAGGATTATAAAAAAAAAGAACAAAAGTTTACGTGCCAGGCATTGGATTGAGTTTACTGATAAGCTCATTTAATCATCACAAGTCTTCCCTGAGGTAGGTATGAGTATCCTCATTTTACAGGTGAGAAAATTGAATTTAGTAGCTGAAAAAGAGGGGGCATGGGGTTAGACTACCTGGGTTCAAATCCTAGCTCTACACTTACGAGTCAGATGATACTGGATGAATACTTAACCTCTTGTCTTGGTACCTAATATGAGTAGTTACTCAAGGGATTGTAGAAAGTGGGAATTTAGGCCGGGTGCGGTGGCTCATGCCTGTAATTCCAGCACTTCTGGAGGCCAAGGCGGGTGGATCACCTGAGGTCAGGAGTTTGACACCAGCCTGGCCAACATGGTAAAACTACGTCTCTACTAAAAATATAAAACATTAGCCAGGTGTGGTGGCGGGCGCCTGTAAACCCAGCTACTTGGGAGGCTGAGGTGGGAGAATCACTTGAACCTGGGAGGTGGAGGCTGCAGAGAGCCAAGATTGTGCCACTGCACTCCAGCCTGGGAAACAGAGCGAGAATCTGTCTCAAGAGAAAAAAAAAAAAAAAAAAAAAAAGAATTTATTGGGTCAGTTTGAGGCAATGCCTGTATGCCTGTAAGTACTCAACACAGTGCCTGGTACATGGGCAATAGTCAGTCTTCACTGCCTATTACTCTCATTAAACTAGGAGGACCACCTGCCATCATTTCACAGAGCAGCTCAGGAGGCAGTACTCAAATTTCCCAGCCTTAGGTGAAGTCATTTCCACCGAGACACCTAGGGCTTCCCCATTCAAGTCTCATCGGCTGGCTTCTGAGGTTGTCCCTTTCTGCGTGATAGAGGATCTTGAAGCGAACAGTCAAGGGAGTATGTCTGCAGACCCCAACTGACTTGGTCATGTATTACCAAAGCCCAGGCTGGTAACTCCAGAATACACTGTGGTAACTCCAGAATACACTGATGATTTGCATTTCAAATGGAGCAGCATTTGAATGCTACTGCATTTATAAAAGGATGGTGCAGACCCTTTTTTTTTTTCCCCTGAACACATGTTCTTTCTCCATCATTCATTACTGTCTGTCTTTTCTACTAGAATGTAAGATCCATGAGGGGGAGGAACCTTAAATAATTGGTTTACCACTGGTAACCCCAATGCCTACACAGTAGATTCTGAATAAAGTTTTACGAACGAAATGAATGAATGAATAAAGTCAGACTTAGCTGATTAAGTTCAGGCTCCTTTCATTTAGATCTCACTGGCAACTGAGATACCAGCCATTCTTAAATGACAGGCAGAGGGAGAAACTAATACTGTAGGTCATAGGCCCCAGATGCCATGCTTCACTGCGTTCTGTCATTTAAACATCACAACTGATTATTATCATCTCCATTTCACTGGTAAAGAAACTGGGGAGTAGAGAAGTTAACTGCCTACTGCCACACAACCTAAAAAGGCCAGATATAAAATATCACCTTAAAAATTTTTTATTTAAATTTATTATTTTTGAGACAGAGTCTCACTCTGTTGCCCAGGCTGGAGTGCCGTGGTGTGATCTCGGCTCACTGCAACTTCTGCCTCCCAGGTTCAAGCGATTCTCCTAGCTCAGCCTCCTGAGTAGCTGGGACTATAGGCATGTGCCACCACGCCCAGCTAATTTTTGTATATTTAGTAGAGACAGGGTTTCACCATGTTGGCCAGGCTGGTCTCAAACTCCTGACCTCAGGTGATCTGCCCTCCTCGGCTTCCCAAAGTGCTAGGATTACAGGCGTGAGCCACCGTGCCCAGCCAATTTGTTTTTTAATTGATATATAATATTTTTACATCATTATGGGGTATGTGCAATATTTTGTTACATGCACACAATGTGTAATGATCAAGTCAGAGGATTTAGGGTATCCATCACCTAGAGTATTTATCATTTCTATATGTTGGGGACATTTCAAGTTCTCTCTTTTAGCCATTTTGAAATATACAATACATTATTATTAGCTATAGTCAGGATCCTAACTCAGCTGTAACTGGGGTCTGTCTGACCTCAAGGCCTATGTTTGTTCAAATGCCAAGAAGTCTTTCTTCACTTTCCACAGCAGATTTGCACTTTCCTTCTTTTTATCTTTCAGTTGTCGTTATTTTTTCACATCTCTCCTGTTGAATTGTAAACTGCGTAAGGGCAGAGACTACATTTGATTAACCTCTGCATCCCGGTATAACGCCTAGTATGACGCTTGGAAGAAAGCAAATAACCAATAATATTGACTGAATTTGGAATGGAACTGAGTCTAGGATCACCAGGTGAGATAGAAAAGGGACATCCATGTGTGAGCTGTGTCAAGCACAAGACAGTTATTTTCAACAAACCTGGAATGTCTACTTTCCCCAGCGACACACTACTGGGCACTGCTCACCTGTCTCTGTTCTTGATGGACAGATTCTGCTCCACTCCTTCCATTAGGTTTCTGAAGCACTGGGCAAGGACCTCCTGCCTGGGGAGAGGCTGGCTGTTTATCAGACTCGCTCTCAGTTCACTGAAATACTGATGGGAGACAGAATAGTGTCAGAGCTCTGACTCCAAACCCGGCCCGAAAACAGCTGGTAGGGGGATGGCTAGACCAGCTCTCATCTACTCAGGGCTCGCTAATGCTCAGAGGAGTTTTTGTCTAGTTCCACTTTGAACTTTAAGCCCTTAGAGAAAATCTGCGCCATAGAGACGCTCCTAGTTATAAATTCTATGATCCCTTCCATAAACTGTCTTGCTGTAATTGTTCTATTGTCACTGCTTAGGCTGATGAAGTCCTTGTCTCCTCTGTGGGGGACTGAATGCATGCTTTTCCTGACTCTCATCTCTTCTAATCACAGAAAGACTGAAATGGGAGGGGTCTCCAGGCTGAAGGAAATAACTAAAAATGCCCAGGGAGCATTTTAAGTGACTGAAGGCAAGGCCAAGGGTCTTTCCTCAGGCCTTATCATCTTTCCTGGCTTCAGTGAGTCACTCCTTAAACAACTTCCGGCTTTGTTCCAAGTCTCTGTCCTTGGGGGCTAGAATGGATTTACTCCTCTGAGGTGGGGCACTGGAGGGGCTTGCTTTAGTTTGGGGAGAGCTTTCTGGCACTAAGAAAAATATCTGGCATGCCTGGTCACAAATATCTGCACAGCCTTTTCTTTTCTGCTGAGGACTGTGGGCTTTTATACAAACACAAGCTCTGATGCTAAACACAGCTCCCAATCATTGGAAACAGCCTAATTTCAGCACAAAGACAACATTTTGCCAGTCATGCATTTATTCTTCCAAGCCCAAAAAGCATGATATTTAATTTCTATCATACATTAAAACAGCTTACATCAGAAAACACACATAATTAATATGTAGTCAGACTAATACTTAAATACTATATATCAGAGGCATTATACTTAAACCACAATGTCTTACTGAACAAGATTGGGAATGCACAAAACTACTTATTTTTCCCTTTTATAATGATGCAGTGACTCACACCAAATAGAAAATTATTAGTTTTTCATCCTAAACGGTGAAATATTGCCTCCATCAGTAAAGTATAATATTGTGATGTCATAAGCTTTTTCCAAACACTGAATTTGCCCTTATTCCCTCTCAATCATTTTAAAAGAACTGCTCTCTTTTATAGAGCTTGGATTTAAATCACAATAACACCGAGGGAAGATGAATGACAGTGCTACTGAATGTGGCTAAAATTGGATACTTCAGCACAGGTGAATGATGAGACAGCTCTTCTCTTTTTGATATATTTTCTTCTTCTATTAGTTTCCTTCCAAGGCTGGGATTTTAGTTTGAATTTTAATGCATGCAGCTGCCTCTAATCTCACTGCCTTTTTCCCCAGTACTATCTTAGTGTATAGACAATTCATTCTCCCAAGCTGTAATGCACTGTTCCTACTGACTACTAGGGAGATGCATGGGTTCAACAGGAAGCTGGAGCGGCTTGGGAGGTAGCCCAGGTGGTGAGTCCTCTAAAGCAGCTGGAGACGTGTGCTCCCCAGATGAAGGCTGTTGGTTCTGTGAGGAATCCCTGGTGGGCTGCTGCTGCCACCATCTAGGGCAGTGGGGATCTCAGATATAAAGAGTGGTCAAGGAAGGCAAAAAGGGTTGTTGCTCAGAATTCTCCTGGAATAGGGGGAGTGGAGTGAGGACAAGCTTGAAACACTACTGAGCAAACCACCCAGCTGGTGAGCGGGAGCTCTGGGCTCCAGAAGCACTTGTTCTGAGGCCTCTGCTTACCTGAAGAAGATCTGAGAACTTTGGGGAAGGGCCTTGTAGGGGAATACAGCCTCACAGAGTTCTCAAGGTCCCAGTTCAAACTCAGTTGGCTCTTCTCTGTCCTTCATCATCACAGCTCACCCTAGTTTACAGCTGCTCTCTTCTCCCAGGGACCACCTCCCATGACTTCCTGCAATCACACTCACCTTCTCATTGAGCAGGATGAGCCCTAGGAGAGGCCTGGATACTGACCACTGGTTCCGACAGTCTTCAAAGACAATGGTGTTCATGAGGACAGACATCATCTAGAAGATAGAGTCACATAAAGACTGAGATGCCCTGGCTCAGAGTCCCCCTAATCCCAGGCCTTTCATGTGCTCAAATTCCACCCCTCCATCTTGCTAACAGCTATGAAAGCTCTTCCTGGACAAACAGCCTAGACTCTAGCTTATAATATTGCCTGTAGAAACTATTGGCAAAGACGCCCAGCTAGCTCCCTGTGGAAGAGCTTCTACCTCTGAAAGCCTTGGTGAGAACATTCCAGATAGGCAGAAGTCAAGAGGTCACTGGGCTAAGATGATCAGTCCCTGTCTCTCAAACCTGATACGCTTTCCTCTATGCTAGGGCACCAGGCAAAAGCTCAGCTCACCTTCCTGTCTGCCTCCCATTTCACCCGAGAGGTCATGTTATACAGATGAAATCTCTCCATGGCCCCTCTTGGAGAGAGGGAGGGGAAAGGGACACATTCCATGTGACCCTGGAACATCATGTTTCCTGCTGGCTTAGGCTGTTCAAGGTTTCTCTTCACTCTTCGTTCACTAATTCACTCACTCACTCATTCATTCCTACATGTACATTCCTCATCTGTTCTCTTAAATTCAGCCTGTAAGATCCATAGGGGAGATAAGATAATACAGGCATTTATCACAACCTCTGACCTTAAGTAGCTTGAAACCTCCTGGGGGAGACTACTTAGGAGAGAAATAACAGGAAATAGGGCTGGGCAAAGTGCAGTGGGCATGTAGAGGAAGGAGGGATGATTCTGGGTCCTTGAGGAGAAGTCAGGGAAGACTCCACGGAGAACATTTAAGGAGTTCATTATAAACGTGTTCTAAGCAGAGAAGGCATCAAAAAAGGAGGATGGGGATGCACACAAAGGGTTCTGCAATGGTAAGAAACTTAGCATGACAGGAGAGAAGAGAGGTGGGCCAGAGGTGAGACGCTAGTGCCAGACTGGACGACCCTGCTGAGGAATCTGGACTTCATCCTGATGGTAGCGGGGAGCTAGTGATATGTTTGCAGCAAAGGTGGAGACATGCTCTGATTTGCATTTAAGAAAGATCTCTTTGGGGACATGTAGAATGTGTACTGTGCAGTGAAACTAAAGGAGGAAGAAGAGGGATGAGGCTGCTGCAACAGTCCAGGCAAGTGGCTGTGAAACAGGTTTCTGTCATTCATGTGGAGCTGATGATACAGTTTCTGCTTCTTGGACTCTTTACCTCCTACCTCTAAGCTCTTCTGTTCCCACAGCTCCAGAACTCCTTTCCCCCAAAGAGGGCAGGGGAAATGGCCATTATGTGGCAAAGATCACTGCACACACCATTCCTTATTGGGCTTTGGTGACCTGGCTTGTTTGGAACACAGCTGGTTTTGTCCTCTGGTATTTTTTGAAATCCAGTTTACCCTGTGATATCAGGCAAGTTACTGAATCTCTCTCTCTGTGTCTCAGTTTCATTAACTATAAGGAGGGAAATAATAATCCAGCACAAGGAAGCTCTGAGAATCAAATGAGATAGTGTGTACAAAATGCATTGCAAAGAGTAAAAAGTGCTATAAACATTTAAGGTATATAGTAACAGTAATGAGCTTTTTTGCAGTTCTAAAAGTCTGTCATTCTATACATCATCATAACAATTAGGCTGGTTGCAAATGAAATCTGCCAATTGTGTATTTATTCTATGTCCAGTCTCTCTGGGGAGAGGCTGGGACTTAAGCTTGGGATGTTGAACATCATTTGCAGATCACAAGTTTCCATGTACAATCTAACAAGCCACCCAAAGTCATAGAGCCACAAATTACACTGACAAGCAAAACTAACAGATCCATCTAGACAGTCTAAAATATTATGGGCTTCACAATCTAAAGGCAGAACGGATAGTTTAATGGAAAAGATTAGAGGCATCAAATTCCTCCAGTAACTGACAAAGCATCTTGAAGTGATGCACCAATTACTTTATATGGTTCTCCTGTGTATTCATTTGTCTGTATGCATGTATTTATGTCTGTAATAAGTAAGGAGATGTTTGAATAAAACACTTTTCTAAAAATAAAGTTGGCTAAAATGGGTGGGTGATTTTTTTTTCTTTTTTATTCTTCTGGAAATATGAAAATTAGTGAGCAAATCTGCTTAAATGGTACTGACATGGCAGCCCATATCCAGAATTATTTTTTGTAATACCTTACAGTAGGGTATGGGGAAACAGCCAACCAATGGGGGCAAATGGCTTTGCAGAAGGAGCATGTGGAAGAATACTGGATGAAACGCTTAAGTACAGAATCACTTCCCAGGTCACATGAAATCTCTGGTGGGAGGCTTTCTGTGGTTAACGACACAAATACATGAATACTGAAAGGAGACAGCTCTTGACAATTCTGCACCACCCGGCCCACAGTGAGTCACAAGGCACCATCAGTATTTGGTACAAGGAATGGCTGTGTGAGCTGAGGCTCCCATCCTTCAACTTCTGCTCACTTCCAATACTGCCACAGGGATGGCTGGAATGGCTGTTTCAAATCTGCCCAACTTCTAGAGGTCTAGATCTAAATAAAATAAAATTAAACAAATGTGCCCAACATAGGCTCCATTTTCTAGGGCCTATGTCTGAAACCACATACAGTATCTACTGCATCACCCTGAGCAGCTATTCTGCCAAACCAGGGAAGGGCCCATTTCTGAGGCAGAGTTGTAGGACTTGCTCCACTTAGGAAAAGCACACTCCACACTGCCTCAGGTGCTTCCTCATTCTCCTCCATCCTTCCCACAGGATTTGGCAGGAGTTTTAGGAAATTTCTCTCAGCGAAGAGAAACCAACGTGGTATGGTAAAGCCAGGCTTTGGAGCCAATCAAAATAGAATCCCAATCTGGCCCTGCCACTTAACTTGAGACAACGGGCGAGTCATTTCACTTACTTGAGACTTTATTTCTTTACATATAAAATGGAGGACAGTAACAGCTACTTCAAAGGGCTGCTGTGAGGAATAACTTCTCTGATATATATCAAGCATTTGATACCATGCTTGCCACATAGTAGGCATCAATCTACTGCTCCTTTACTGCTACTGCAGCTACTCTCTCTGGCCTAGCCCAGTGGAATTTCATGGCTCAATGAAGGGCCCCAATTCATGTCCTGATGAGATACAGATCAATGAGATTATAGTCTCTTCACAACTATCTAACTTTGTTGAGGGTTGCAGTAAAACACAGACACATATACAACGAAAATAGGAAACAGTTCAGAAAGCATCATTATTTGATCTGGCACATGTATTTGTAATGATTTTGAATGACAATGTTTCTGTTGTTCTGAAAACCTGTAATTCTAAATAAAACACAAAATGACAAATATTTGACCTGGAAAAGTAAAACAAAGCAATGTTGTATGATCTGATCTCTGTTCATTCCCCAGCTCCTCTCTTACTCTTCTACCCTAACATGGGATGTAAAGCACAAGCATAAAGCAAATTGGACTTTCCTACCCAAATATGCTGTGTCATACTTTCTTTCATTTTTTTTTTTTTTTTTGAGATGGAGTCTCGCTCTGTTGCCCAAGCTGGAGGGCAACGGCACGATCTCAGCTCACTGCACCTTCGCCTCCCGGTTTCAAGCGATTCTCCTGCATCAGCCTCCTGAGCAGCTGGGTTTACAGGCACGTGTCACCACGCCCAGCTAATTTTTGTATTTTTTTTAGTAGAGATGGGGTTTCACCATATTGGTCAGGCTGGTCTCAAACTGCTGACCTCATGATCTGCCTGCCTCAGCCTCCCAAAGTGCTGGGATTATAGGCGTGTGCCCACCGTGTCTGGCCCGAGTCATACTTTCTCTATGGCAAGGCAGTAACTAAATGCTCACTTTATATTTACGTACGTATGTATGTATGTATGTATGTATGTATGTATGTATGTATGTATCTATCTATCTATCTATCTATCTATCTATCTATCTATCTGAGACAGGATTTCACTCCTATCACCCAGGCTAGAGTGCAGTGGCGCCCTCTCAGCTCACTGCAACCTCTGCTCCTGGGCTCAAGTGATCCTACTGTCTCAGCCTCCCAAGTAAATGGGACTACAGGCATGCACCACCACACCTGGCTAATTTTTCTATTTTTAGTAGAGATGGGGTTTCACCATGTTGGCCTGGCTGGTCTCAAACTCCTAACCTCAAGTGATCTGCCTGCCTTGGCCTCCCGAGGTGCTGGGATTACTGGCATGAGCCACGGCACCCAGCCTGTTCATTTTTATTTTTAGAGATAGGGTCTCACTCTGATGCTCACGCTGGAGTGCAGTAGTGTGATCATGGCTCACTGCAGCTTCAAACTCCTGGTCTCAAGCAATCCTCCCACCTCAGCCTCCCAAAGTGCTAGGAGTGAGCCATCATGCCTGGCCGAAATGCCCAATTTAAACCACTTCTGTTCTGTCTCCTGCTGAAATAGAATAGACAAAGATGTGGCTTGTGTTGGATGCTTTACTGCTAAACAGTGAACTGTATTTTTTTCTAAGAAAGTTGAAGGCTTAGTGTGTCTAGAATCTGATGGCTGGACATTACTAAAGAGCAGGATGGTTGGAGAAATAGGAGCAGAGGCTGAGAAAATGGAAAAAGCCAACTTGAATGAGTACAGGGTGGTGACTGCAATGGCAGCGGGGTGGGGAGACCAGACTGCAAACTCCTGTGGTACTGTATCCCCAGGGCCTAGGGTTAGGCACTGGCACACATCAGAGATTTAGGAAAGAGCAACTGAAAGAGTAAATACATAAGTGAATAAATGCAAAAGGATGAATGACATATCAGAAGGTAAAGTATAAAGAGCTAAAGAGATGAAAGGGCACTATACAGAAAACAGGGAAGTTCTTGTCTTAATCTACGACTAAAACTTAAAATGATTACCTACTGGAATTAATACATTGTTCATTTGCAAGGATCTTGTTTTTGTGTGTACAGCCTGAGAACTCTTCTATGCCACTGCTGTCCTACAGCCAGCTCGAGAGTGCCTTTGTAGGGACTTGCAGGTTGCAAAGGTCAAAGGCC